TCATTTCTTTTTAGTCTTAGTTCTCTCTCCTCTTCCATCTGGAGCATATCTGTATTCCTATCCTCTATAATGCTAATTCTTTCCTCCATATTGTCAGCTCTGTTCTTTAAAGATTCCAGATTTTCCTTTATCTCCTCCATTGTGTTCTTCATCTCCATCAGTACTGATTGGTTTTTCTTTATGATTTCAATCTCTTTTGTGAAGAAACTCCTAATCTCATTGAATTGTTTGGCTGTATTGTCTCGTATTTCATTGAGTTTTTTTGTGATAGCTATTTTGAAATCTCTGTCATTTAGGTTATGGATTTCTGTGTCTTCAGGATTGGTTTCTGGGTGCTTGTCATTTTCCTTCTGGTCTGGTGATTTCATATACCTTTGCATTGTGGTTCCTGTATTGGCTTTGTTTTTCCTCATCCTGGAAATATCTGGTTGCAATTTCTACCTGCCGCCACTGTGTGGGGTAAGGGGCTGTGTAATCTGAGCCCCCTGCGCTCTGCCTCGGCTGTTCACTGTGATCGCCAGCTCCTTGGTCTCGTCTGGTCGGTTGAGCTGCAGTGTCCTGCTTACGGGGAGTGGGGGGGGCTCCCTCTTTTGCCCGCTGGGTCCCTGACTTGCGGGGCTTCTTGCTCACCCCTCATTATCTGCTCTCCTGGGGTGCTCAGATGTTGATGGTACCCCGTAGCAGTTCTGAGTCCTCTATGTGGGAGTTTCCCACTGGCTGAGAGAGCTCAAAGAGCTATGGTTTCCCGGCAGAAGGCCGCCCCTCCCCCCTCTCTGGGAGCCTTGCGGACTGGGATTGCTGATCTGATGGGGATGCAGAGGAGTTCCCCCACTTCCTCCGGGGGCCCAGCATGTTCCTCTCTCAGATGTGCGACAGTATGGATCTTTCCAATCTTGCTTTTTGCTGTCTAGGATTACATTGTTGGTCTGTGACTCTTCCTTTTGTTGTGTCTTATTGGGGGAAGAGTTTACGGGAAAGCTCACTCCGCCGTGATGCTGATGTCACTCTGATTTCTCTTCATTTTAAGACCTTTCTAAGAAGCAGAGCTGCTTTCACAGCCATGCATGACTTGGGGTGGTGGTGCATTTCCTGTCACTCAGTGTATCCGATAGACGAAATGAACTTCTGTGATAACAGTACTATAAAAGAGATTCTAGCAATTGAAGGTGATGGGTGAGTGGGGTGATTCTAACAGTTGGAGGATGTGAGGAGTGGAGAGGGGTGATGTCACAGGTAGCTTCATTCTTTCGTTCAAACATGACTGAGCGGGGCTGGCCCCATGGCTTAGCCGTTAAGTGTGCGCACTCCGCTGCTGGCGGCCCGGGTTGGGATCCCGGGCGCGCACCGATGCACTGCTTCTCCGGCCATGCTGAGGCCGTGTCCCACATACAGCAACTAGAAGGATGTGCAGCTATGACATACAACTATCTGCTGGGGCTTTGGGGGAAAAATAAATAAATAAATAAAATTACAAACATGACTGAGCACTTGTCAGTTACAACCCAGAACCTAGCTAGATTCGAGGGACCAGAGATAACACTTAAAGGAACTCTCAGGCTGGTTGGGACAGACCTGCAAACAGATAAATGTCATGTAGTCTGATGAGAGCTAGAACAGGCACTGTGGAGTTGTGTTGATCTGCATGGGGTCGAGAAAGGCATCAGAGTCTAGGGGTACTTGAGCTGGCTTGGGAGGCTGAGTAGGTGTGGCCCTGTGTGAGCAGGGTAGGAAAGGATATTTCATGTAGAAGGAACTTTACGTGCAGGGCTACAAAGCAAGAAAGAGCATGGGAATTTGAGGTGCCACAATTGAGTTACTCTGTGCAAATTCTCATCTTCCCTGTCTCAGTTTCCCCATTTGTAAGATGGGGATAGGAATGGTATCCACAGAGTAGGGGATGGTGAGGAGTAAATGAAGTGATATGGATAATATTTGTCACAGGCCCTATTGCAATCCCTTTGGGTATAGTATCTTACTTGGTTATTTAAATAATCCTACGAGATAGGCTCTGTTATTATTATTTCCATTGTACACATAAGGAAGCTGAGTCTTAGGGTGTTGAGGAACTTGCCCAAGGCCATGTCACTGGTGAGAGGCAGAGTCTTGACTCATGCCCAGATCAGTCTAATTCCAGAGCTCTTCTCTTAACCCCTAAGCTATAGTCAGTGCTTAGCACTTAGCTAATACTAAATAAATGGTAGCTTTTATTGTCATGATGGCTAAAGTTTCTCACCCAGAGGGTTGGGGGTTCTGTTATCACTTCTGCAGCTGATGGTGGATCAACACTGCTGTTATTTCCTGAGCAGCAGTGACTATTTTTGGAAGGCCCTCACCACCTACAATAGATCTAGATTGACAGTTATACCACTTTTGTTTAAACTGGTTGGTGTTTGGAAATCAAGACCAGGGAGTGATTTTTATCTTCTTAGAGGACAAGTTGTTCCAAGCAGGTGCAGTTGATGTGAGGGAGGAAGATCTGGGTTCACTGCACTCCTCTGATGTCTGTGCATTGAACCCAAGCAAGAGTCTCATGCCCTAGCAGCTCATCCATTGGGGGATAGCAGTGAACCAGCATTCACAGGCAAGAGGCTTCATCCAAAGGTCAGGTGACTGTCCATTGTTCCCTGTGAGTATGCGGGGAAAGACCCTTTTCTACCAATGATACCTGAGGTAAGCATAGACCTCTTCAAAGCTGGCAACCCTCCCCCTCATTCATTCATTCAACAAATAGAGTGCCTACTATGTGCTGAACACATATCTAGGCCCTGAAGATAGTCATGAAGGAGGCTGACAAATTTCCCACTTCTGGAGTTTACGTTTTTAGCAGGAGGAGACAGATGGCAATCAAATAATAACATGAATGCATGCATAATTACAAACTCGCATGCCACAAAGGAAACTTACTTAACATGAAAAGAGGGATAGCTATCAGAGACATTTTCTGACTCTACCAGGGAGCCAATTCTTCTCTGACTTGATAAAGAGAGCTCTGCACTTTTTCACAGAGAACAGATGGCACCTCTCACTTTGCCCAGTCAGTCATGCCCAGAGCCTGCCTCCCTGCCTGCCTCCTAGTCATGAAAAGCTGGGATTCCCCCAGCATGAACCCCAGGCCTTTAGGGAAGGATTTCCTCCTAGTTCATGGGATGAAGCTGGTTTATGGCCATTATGGCCTCCTCTTAGTTCTGTTAATGCTGCATCTCCCAGGACAGGCTTCGAGGCCAGCCCAGTATTGGGTGTCAAGTTGATATACAAGGTTGAAGTGTATTTTCAATACTATCTCCAACAGTTTTGCCTTAGTTACTCAACTAACATAATAAGAATAATAAAGAAAGTCAAACGGAAAGGTGAGAATTCATCTCTTATCAGTTTGCTTATCAGCTGTTTTCAGGTCTGAACCAAGTACATTTTTTCCTAGGTATTTGCACATACTTAACTTTTAGTCACAATGACGTATGCACAGATAACATTTTCTGTGTCATTTTTTTGTTATAATATTTTAAGCATTTTCTTCCCTATTGCTACTTAAATACATACACAACTATATATATATTTTATGTCTGGTGGATGTACCATAGTTTTAACTATTTCCCTATTGGGGAAAGCTTAGTTGTTAATCTTAGATTTTTCACCATTATAAATAATGTTGGAACCGAAAACAATTTTCCTTTTTCACGTGCATATTATTTTACAGAACTCGTTCTTTATCCCATTAGTCCTCTTTCAAGCCTTACCACAACTGTGTAAGGTAGGGAATAATTTTACATGTGAGGAAACCAAAATATAGAATCTTTTTTCCTTTGAATTATTTATTTAGTTTTATTTCCTGGAAGTACAATAACTTGATAAATAGTCACAAGTCTTAAGTCTATGGCCTGATTACTTTCCAAACAGGTTAATTTGATTTCTAACATAATAAGAAATATTATACCCTCAAAATATACCAATTTTATTACAATCTGTCCAGCAATGAGTATTATCATTTTGAAAACTGCTGACTAATGTAAGTTCTATAAACTTAGTATCTTAATATTCCAGTTACCTCTTTTGGGTTTCTCTCAAGATCAATCATGATTTCATATGCTTGTTAATTGTAATTTCTATTTTGTGATTGGTCTGTTCATGTTGATTGCCTGTTTACTTGGGGAGGCTTTTACTCTATTAACCCTTTGCATACCTTGACTCTTGTTTTCCTTTTAATAGTAGGAAGTTGGAATTATATAGAAGTTGGCATTTTCATGTACAGAAGTTGGAATTTTCATGCAACTGACTATTAAACTTTTCCTTTGTTATTTTTCTATATTCCATCTGAAAGAAGAAAGAGCTGACAAATATAGAATTCTATTTGTAGCTTTTAAAAATTATATTTTTATAATATTTTTTCCAACCCTAAGAGTAATGCATGTACATTTTAGAAATTTTGGAATATACAAAAGATTATAAAAAATAAATATACTCATTATTCTACCATCCAGGGTGTATTTTTTTTTTCTTTCTCTGTCTCACCTGTACATTTTTAAAAATGTATTTTTTCTGAATTTGGATAGTATATACAGTTTTATAATCTGTTTTTTTCAGTTAACGTTATACTGATTGAACTTTCACATATCATTAAATATTCTTTGATAATAAATAATTTTTTAAAAATCTGTTTAGAGTTTATTTTGGAATGAACCAAATCCTCTCTCCCCCAAACTGCTATTTATGTATCCCCAAACCAGTGACTAAACAATTCTTTTTTTTCCAGATTGGTCTATGGTGCCTGTGTTATTTCTCTAGCATGTTCTTATCTAGTATCAGTGTATTTCTAGGATCCTTGTGCTGATCCTGGACCCGGAGCAGTGCACCTGTAGTAGGCTCTTGTCTCTCTTTTTCTGAGCCCTCAGGGCTTCCTGGATTGAGCCTGTAGCCTAGGCCAGGGCCCCTGGGGGAGACTAGGGGAAGTACCTATCCATCTTGTTAATCTTTAACCCTCCTCTCTTTTTTTTTTTTCTTTGCAGATGTTTTTTGATTATCCTGAGGAAAGTGAGCCTTGGCCTCCAGACCCAATAAAGCAAATATCCCTCCCATGGAGAGTAGTGCTGGTTCCTGAGGACCTGGAGGGCCTGCAGCCCCAGGGGGATTAGCCAGAAGCAGGTAAGTAACACCTGGAGGGGTGGGCTGCGGAGGCAGCAAGGGGTACATTCCTGAATAAAAAATGTATGTGGTATGGCAGAGTGTGCTGGTAAAAGTCACAGGGTCTCACAGTCGGGCTATCTGGCTATAGCTTTGCTGTTTTCTTCATATATGTTTTTAGTCCTAATTCAGTGAGGGGTGGGGATAGGTGATTTGCCTATTTCTATAACTATAAATATAAGATTTGAAGTTATTCTGTAATTCAGTCCCCCTTTTTTGGGTGCCTGCTATGTGCCAAGCCCTGCATTTGGTACTGGGCATGTAGCGATGGGTAGACCAGGGCAGGGGCCTTACTTTGGTTGAGATTTTCTTTCTGTTGGTTCAGTGTTGGCTTGTTCTTTGTAGGTGATAATGTGAGTTGTTATTGCATTCTTCTAGAAGCCTCGTGGGGGTTAAGGATTCATTGATACAGTGCCATCAGTTCAACAATCCTTTATTGAGTACCTACTCTATCCCAGGTACTGTGCTAGGCACTGGAATTTCAGAAATGAGCCAGGAGGAGTTTCCCCTCTAGCAGGGGTCAGCATGAGAAGCCAGCATTACTAAACACTAGATGGGAGCAGCAGGGAGCAAGAGTAGTGCTGAAGGGGAGGTGGGCTCCACAGGAGGCCAGAAGCAGAAAGGTGATGCTGTTTGATTGACAGGCAAATGGATGAGGGGAGAGATAGCAGCAGTGCAGGCCTGGAGGCTTAAGAAGTCAGTCTGGGGGTGTGAAAATTCAAAACTTGGTGTGTTTTCCCAAAGAGTATGGAGAGAAAAATTTGCTACTTCTCTCCCTCAGTTGGGCTGGTTAGATGAAACTTCTTCAGTCTCTATCTCTCGAGAGCAGCTGGAGAGATGAGCAAGGGTCTTGAAGCTCTAAGTGTCTATGACCAGAAGCTCCAGCCAGCTAGTGGGACTTGGAGCCTCAACAGAGGGTGATGTCAAGAGACCTGAGAGCTCTGAGGTGCCCTGAGGCCATGACGGGGCACAGGCCCTGAAGGCTGAGGCTGTATAAAGGTTTCAGGTTGTGCCTGGCTGTTTGGGGGAACTCTTGTTTCCTGGGAAACTCAACCGTGGAGAGTAGCTGCTGGCAGGAGGCCGAACACCAGTCCCTTCTGAGCCTCAGCTCATGAGACAGTGAATCAGGTCCCACCTCCGTACCTCCTGTCTTCTTTCACTCATACACAGAAAAGTTAAGTCCAAATTCCACCATTTCTAAATCACTCATGCAACTTTGAAAATTTTTTACATTTACTGAGGTTTTCCTCAGTTTCTTCAGCTATAAATGGAGCTAATAAACTTTGCTCTGTTTACCTCACAGGGTTATACTGGGTCTCATAAACCTAATTACTGTGAAAGAGCTGCCTGAGTGATAGAGAGTGCACACGGGCAATGATGGCGTGGCGCTGACGGTGAGGGGCGTTTTCTGTGATTTTCTGGTAGGTTGAGATATCTCTCTAGGGACTGATTTCTGAGTCCTGTTGGTCAACACTGACTTTTCACTGTCTTATCACAGATGCCTGTCCTTTAGTGCAAAGACCATGAACTTTTAGAGTCAGACAGACCTGGGTTGGAATCCTGGTTCTAGTACTGATTAGCTGTTGACTTCAGAGAAGCCCTGGAACCTTGCTAAGCCTCAGTTTCTTCATTTTCTCAAATGGGGTTGTTACTATCTATCCCATAGCATTATAGTAAAGATTAAATGAGGTATTGCAGGTAAACACTCTACTATATAGTTGGTGCTTCTTAAATGCTGCTTTCCCTTCTTTTCTAGTTCTTCTTCAGCTGTCATAGAGTCATGTGATTGGCTGTGTTGGGTAACTGAAGAAATTGAGTTTCTTAGTTTTCTGATGATGCAACAAGCCCCCTCCCCCATTTCATGATCTCATGTTTGAATTTTCCCTCTGGGTATGTTTCATCACTTCCAAAACTTCAGCAGCTCAAGGTAGGAACCCATCCTCCCAGAGCCACTGGTTCCTGAGTTCTGGGATGGTGAGAAGCACGGTTTGGTTGGTACTGCCAGTGGATTCTAAGAATAATCTAGATGTCACTTAAATTAAAGAGGCTCAGATGAAGAACCTGAAGCTCAAGTTGATGAGTCATGGCCAGTGCTCCACTCTGCCATTGGTCACTGTCCCGCGTCACCTCCACAGGGAGGGCCCTCATGCCGAGGGCTGCTCTCTGGTCTCTGTGCAGAATACCCCCCGGGCCTTTACATTTAGCTCATTCAAAGCCCATTGACACCATCCTCGTTTGGTCCTCCCAGCACTCTGTGAATGTGACAGGGCAGAGATGATTACTCTACAGGAACTTAGGTGCAGAGAGTTTAAGTGACTTGCCAAGGTCACCACGAATGGGGACGAGAACCCAGGTTTCGTGACTACCCAGTCCACTACTCGTACCACCTTATCCCTGATATCTGTAAGAGCGAGCTCCATGGGAAGGGACTATAGATCCCTAGTGAGCTAGCAAACCCTGGGGTGATTGCTTAGACTCATTATGTAAATAAATCCGGTTATTTAGGAAAGAATTTAATGTTTAATGTTTTCCAAAAGATACAGACATTGTTTGAGTTCAAAGTACTTCCACCTTCCATTCAGTTACACAATAAATTCTGGGAAAAAAAAGTAGATCTTTACCCAGATATAAAAGGGACTATTCAGGCTCTATTTACTTAGTGAAATCCATTTTCCAGAACTTTCAGCAATTCTGTGCATGAAAAGAACATGGATTATGGAATCAAGTGCACTTGGATGTGAACCTCAGTGCTACCATTTACTCAGCTCTGTGATCTTAGGCACTTCTCTTAACCTCTCAGAGCCTCAGGTTACTAATCTATGAAATGGAGATTATAACACTTTCATGGCTAGTGATGGTCAGGGCCTCTCTGCACAGCTCAGGAGATGCCCTTTGTATTAGACTATCATATGCATGGTGCTCGCTGGAGTTGTGCTTCACAGTGGCCTTGTTATGGTAAAATTAAATGAAATAACATCTTGTGTGCTTAATGCAACTTTTTTTTTCATTGCCTTACTTGGTCACATGTCTGCTATCTTATTGAGACTTCTTAACTTTATTGTGAGGTGAAGCACCTTCCTGTCACTTGATAACACTCTTGCTGGGCACTCTGTAAACCTAAATGTGATGTCGTGAAGCTGGCCTTTGGTCTTTTTCACACACAGGAGTCCAACACCACAGCCCTTAGAGAGATGCATCACAAATCTATGGCATTGTCTATTGCAAGAGGTCTTTTTCTGGCAATTTTAAAAGGATGTGGGGCCCCCTAGGGTTTTAGGGAGTTTGGGTTCTTGTGATATAGACCAGCCAGCCTGTTCTTCCTTTTCTTCTAGTTCTTCAAGCATGTGTGCCTTCATTTAACAGATAGTGTAAGACCCTAGGAACCAAAAGATGTGGTTTCTGACCTGAAGAAACTCAGCATGCAGTCAGGAAGCTAGACCAAGAATACATGAAACTAAGATTCAGGGCGGAGAATACATCAAGTATTCTCCGGAGAGAGTAGGGGAAACAGGGCTCAGAGAGGAAGAAGGGAGCATCTGAGGACTGCTCTCTGAGAACATTCACCCAAGCAGACGGTGAATTTTTTTGAGAGTTGCTGAAGTTTGCAGACCTGGTGGGAAGTAGACGAGGGCTGGAATTCAAGTTTCGTCACTCTAAATCCATTGCTCAGCCCTTTTGCCAATCACGACTTTTAGATTTTCTTTATATCATTTTTTGCTTTGTCTCACTGTTTTTAGGCTCGTTTTCCTGCTCAGCACAGAGTGGCTTCCTTGAACACATCTTTCATTATGATTCACTCCAGCTTGAAGAAAAAATTCAGCTGCTGTGTGCTGGCCTTTCTCCTGTTTGTGGTCATCTGTGTGTGGAAGGAAAAGAAGAAAGGGAGTTACTATGAATCCCTTGAATTGCAAACCAAGGGATTCCAGGTGTTGAGGAGTCTGGGGACTCCGGCCCCGGGGTCTGGTTCCCCGTCTGCATCTTCAAGCAGTGCCCAAGACCCCCACACGAACAGCCAGGACCTCAGCAATCCCAGGGGCCCAACCAAGGCTAAGCCAAAGGGTACCTTCCAGGTGTGGAACAAGGACAGCTCTTCCAAAAACCTTATCCCCAGGCTGCAGAAGATCTGGAAGAATTATCTGAGCATGAACAAGTACAAAGTGTCCTACAAGGGGCCAGGGCCAGGTGTCAAGTTGAGTGCAGAGGTCTTGCGCTGCCGCCTCCGGGACCACGTGAACGTATCCATGATAGAGGCCACAGATTTTCCCTTCAACACCTCTGAGTGGGAGGGTTACCTGCCTGAGGAGAACATTAGGACCAAGGCTGGGCCGTGGGGCAGGTGTGCTGTCGTCTCATCAGCGGGATCTCTGAAGTCCTCCCGACTGGGCCGAGAAATAGGTGGGTTCTGGGGTGTTAAGGTTGTTATCTGAATAGCCAGTGCTCATTTGGAGTAGCTGGGCATACGGACGGGACTGGAGACAAGGGGCTCCAGCGTGGCTCCGTGGATTAGTGGAGCATGCCCAGATCAGTGTTTTTCAACTTTCCTTCATGAGTCAGAGGTGCCACAGGGGCTGCTGAAAGGGTGGGGATCCAGGTTCCCAGCATGTTTATCAATTAGAATAGCTTTATTTTTATCTGTCTTAGATATTGGTGTTCTATAAGATTTCATTAGAAAAGAGAGTTCCACCGCTACCAGTAAGCAAACACTATAACTGACATTTAAAAATACGTGAAGCACAGATCTCTACTTTATCTTCAGGTCCTGACATTTTGTAATTTTACTGATTAATTAGAGACTAATTTTCTCTTCTGGCCTCAACTATCTGGGTAATTTTCAGCTTTTCTGTTTGAAAAGAATTAATTACAGCAGGAATTCTTAACTTGGGGGCTGTGGGCCAAGTTCAGGGGGTTCATGAATCCCTAAAATAGCATGCAAAAATATCTGTGGATTAGATGTGTGTAAAGTGTGTGTGTAATATGTGTATAATGTGTAAGTGTGTAAATCAGTATTTTTCCAGAGAGTCCATAGCTTTCAGTTGATTTTCAGAGGAGTCTGTGACCCAAAAAATTAAAAGCCACCTGGTTAGAATATATCAATTTGCTTTCCTTGAAATTCTTTGCGGTTCGTAAAGATAGAAAGTCTATCTATATTTGTAAACATGTACAATACAGAACTATGGATTTGCTTAAGGCTCCTTCATTCCCTTATTTTGAGAGCATGTGTTTTCTTTATTCTGATGCATTTCACAATGGAAAGCATTGAGGCACAGGAAGCCTTGCTCTTCTGTCAGGCTCTGGAAGGTACCGGAGCAGGTGAGGTCATATGTCTCCTTTTTTATTTCCTTTGTATGACTGCCAGGAAAAATGGCCTAAAACCAAGCACAGGCTCTCAAAAGAAGAAAAGTATACCCAAATTGGCTTCTCTGGAGCAGAAAGAAGTGATGAGATCACAGTTTGTGCCTCCACAAATAGGCAGCACTTACTAATAAAAGCTGCCAAGATAACCAGCCCACTCTAACTTTTGCTCTTTCTTTTTTCATTTCTTTTGGACTTCATTTTCTAGAAACTAAATGTGATTGGTTTTTGTCCATCTATAATGGCACTAAATTTCTTTCTTTCTTCCCATTTTTGCTCTATAATGGTGATGTATAGAACATCCCTGGTGTTAGCTGATCCTCTTCTCCATGTCGAATTATCATTGTCTGCCTGGCTGGACTTGTATTGAAGTTTGAGGCAGAGCCTAATACTTCCATGAATTGGAACTCTAATCTTTATTTTCATGCCCTCCATAAAAGTTTGGAGTGATTTAAATAAACATTAGTTAAGATAATATTTTTCTATAGACTGCAGTTATAATTTCAAATATGTATTTCCACAGAAGGACGTGGATCCTGAGATGTAACAAAAATTGCATGTGAGACTTAAAATGTTCTTCCTTTTGTAGAATATTTCCTCTGGGCAAGGAATTAGTCTAACAGGTATTTTAAAGCATTCATTCATGGATGCATCAACAATACAAAACAAGAACTTAGAATACAAAGAGAAAAGGGAAAGGAGAGGCCCTCTGTTGAAGGCCTCTGAGCATCAGGCAGCATGCCAGGTCCAGAGCCTTCTCAGGACACCTGGAATTTGTCCAGCCTCTTCCCATCTTTCGAATGTATCAGATGGTTTCAAACTGTTTGCTCTTACAAATAGTACTGCTAACAGGGTTTTTGTGCAGATAACTTAAGTGACTACCACTGTCCTTCAAAAAGGGAAATATCCTCAGGAGTCGGGCTAGAGGGCCAAAGTAAGATAAGTTTTATGGTTCTTTTTTTGTCTATTGCAAAATGGTCTCCAGCAGTCCCACAAACAAGCTAATGGTGGGCTCAGTCATTTTCAATGATTTTTGATATGTATACATGTAAAGTATCTTAGATTTGCTTGAATTTTCATTTCAAACAATAGCATAATTTAAAACATTATAACCAATAGGGGGAATGCTCATTGTGCACCTGCTGTGTGCCTAGCAGGTCTTGCCCTTTTAATCCCTCCAGCAATCCTGTGAGGGGGGTATGATAATTGTTCCCATTTTACTGATAAGCTAAGTATTGAGGCTCAAAGAGGTTATATAGCTGGTTAATAGCAGACGGGGACTTGAAACTGGGTCCTTTGACTCAAAGGCCCCCATACTTAGCCCTTCTGCTCTCATGCCTCATAGTGATTGTAGCTTTATAATAAAATTTAGTATGATGAATTCCTTGTCAGATTAAAAATCCCTTTAGGGGCTGGCCCGGTGGCATAGTGGTTAAGTTCGCACGCTCCGCTTCGGCGGCCTGCGGTTCACGGGGTTTGGATCCCGGGCGTGGACCTACACACTGCTCATCAAGCCATGCTGTGGCGGTGTCCCACATACCAGATAGAGGAAGACGGGCACAGATGTTAGCTTAGCAACAATCTTCCTCAAGCAAAAAGAGGAAGCTTGGCAACAGATGTTAGCTCAGGGCCAATCTTTCTCACCACCCCCCCCAAAAAAAAAAAAAACCCCGAAATCCTGTGATATTCTTGCTTACTTGCTCTCCTAGAGGAAAGGAGAAGAGCATTCTGAGTTGAGGCAAAAGCAAGAAGCAAAGGCTTCCTGGGAAAAAGTGCAGAGTGCATTTGGACATCACTAATAATCCTGTTTGGCTGGGATATGGGGCCCTGTGGGTGAAGAGGGCTGAGGAATGAGGCCAGAAAAGTAGCCAGGAGTCAGCTCTTAGAGAATGTTGAAGGACTTTGGGTTTCATTATTTCAGCCACAGAGAGCCCTAGAAGGCTTTTGAGCAAGCAAGTGATGGGATCATACGCATTTTGGAGACATTTTCTCGTTTCTCTCTGAGTTGCCTTCTCTATGGGGACTACTATATAATCTCTTTATTATTAGGGATTATTGCCACAGCCAGGTGAGAAGTGCCAGTCCTGTCTGAGTAGTGGTAGTGGTGATGGAAAGAAAAGGTCTGATCTGAGAGACATCTTGAGGTAGAAGAGACAGAACTTGGTATCTCAGTAGAAATGACTGAGCGAGAGGCGAGAGCCAGAGTTTGTAGCCTGGGAACAGGCTATATCGTATCACAGGGAGCAGTCTTCTGGAGGGGGACAGGTTTCATCTTAGATGTGCTGAGTCTGAAGTGTTTGTGGATTTCCCTGGGTAGGTATCTATGCAGTTGGGTATTTGATTCTGGAGAAGAGTCAGGGCAGGAGATCAGACTTAGGAGTCATTTGTATCGAGGTGATAGTTGTAATCCAGGAAAGAGACTGATGAGAAAACCTACAGAAAGTTTAAAGAACAGAGAAAGAATAGGAAAAAGCAAAAAAAGTTCAGAAGGGCCAGCGAGAAGGGCTGGAGGAGAATCAGGAGCATACTATACAATGAAAGGCAAAGGGGGATGGAGCTTGGGGGAGGTGGGACAAGTTCTTGGGTAGAGTGAGGAAGGAGAAGACACCCTTGGAATGAACAGCTCAGAGAGCATGATTGTGTATATCAGGGGTCAGCAAACTTTTCCTATAAAGGGCCAGGTGGGAGATATTTTTGGTTTTGAGGCCATACAGTGTCTCTCACAACTACTCAGCTCTGCTGTTGTGGTGCCACAGCAGCCATAGACAGTAGTAAGTGAATGGGCCTGGCTGTGTCCCAATAAAACTTTATTTATAGAAACAGAGGAGGGGCCAGATTTGGCCTGCGGGCCATAGTTGGATGACCTTGATCTATTTTATATCTAATTTCTCCAACCAGAATCAGAATGTAGTCTTCCATAAATGGTTACATGATTCATTAAGCTAAGTTGAAAATATAAAAAACGTTTGGCCCAAATTGTGATAAAATTTCTTTCACTGTACTTTCTAGCTGTTTGGAGTTACTCACTACGTGGGGGCACTGGGTTTTGATGTATTTATGAATTGACTAACGAGCTGATTTTGTTGAATTTTCTAGGCATGTAATTATATCATCTGCACATTGGTGCATTTATCTCTTCCTTTTCTAATTTGCATCTTTTTCTGCACTCTAATTCTAAGTAAAAGAGAAGGAGTGTCCCCTGTTTTCTCAGCTTTCCTCCTTGTAAGTCTTGTTTGCTGGGATCCCGGTGGCTGTGGATTTCTCCTGCTGATTTCCTAGAGGCTTATTTGAGTTCAAAAGTTCTTCAGCCTTCAGTAGCCAAGGGCGATTTGGCAAACAAGGATTCTATCCCCTTTCTTTATGAGCCCACTTCATTGGCCTGTTTTAAGGTTTTCTTCTTTGACTGAATTTTTCTTTTCTTACAATAAAACCTACACTTTATACCTGGCCCCACAGCCTGCGTGATGTGGTTCCTGCTGGCCTCTTTAAATGCATCTTTTATTTTTCTTCTTCTCACTCACTTGTCTCCAGCCAAATCCTTATCTGCCTTGGGGTCTTGGCGCTGCTGCGTCCTCTGGCTGGACCCTGCCCATGGACCCTTCCCATGCCCGGCCGCGCTTTGGGTCTCAGCTCAGAGGCATTTCCTGAGTCATCACTCTAGCTGAAGGAGATTCCCTCAGGGTCTCTGTTACCCAGCTCAATTTATTTGTGTCATAGTATTAATCACAATCTGTAATACCTGGAGTATAAGTGGTTGTGCTTCTTTATTGTCTCTCTCCTTGCAAGTAGATTGTGAGATCTCTGAGGGCAAGGCCCTTGTCTTTCTTGCTCACAGTCATTGTCTCTAGCACCTAGAGCTGTGCCTGGCAAAGAGTAGGTGCTTAATCAGTACTTGTTGAATGAACAAAAATATTCCCCCTTCTTATGGTCAACACCAGGCCTAGCCTGAGCCTCCTGTGCTGGTCTCCTTTTGCCCCTCCAAGTCCACTTTCCACCCTTGTCTACCTGACTCTGTGCCCTGGGAAATTGAAATCTTAGACTTGTCAGCTGGGCTTCCTCACCCTCTGGCTTTTATTTGGGGTGGGACAATGGAAGCCCTGGTGTGAATCTGAGAAGGAGAGTGAGGTCAGGGTATCTGTCCCTTTAGATCTCTCCTTGCAGAGTGACCACAGGCTGCTTTTCTCCTTTGACTGAAAGTCTCAGCCCCTTTCAAGCAGAGGCTCTCTGTCTCTGAGTCTGCTCTCTCTTTTGTCCCTTCAGGCCTAGAAGTCAGAGGGAAGGAGGAAAGAGAGTAGGGAGTATTGATTCCTTTCTCGCCAGCTGGACATTAGCAGTAGCTGGATTCTCCTAAAGGCCACAGTTCTGGTAGCTGGCCTTCTTCAGCCAAGGGTCTCTGCTCCTCTTGCCACATTAGGTGCAAGGGTAGTAACAGCTCCCTGCTGCAGCCAACCCTGGGATATCAACCCATTCCTTGTTGATTTCCTTAAACCGTGCCTACAACTTTGTAAGTAGTCCTTTTATTCAACTCTCAATTACTCCATTTGAGCTTGTCTTCTCTTTTCTACTAGGACCCTCAGATTAATAATTTTTTCATCTGTGAAATGGGGAAGCTGACTAAGTGGAGTTTCTGATGGATCTGATGGCCCAATGTGATTACTACTGGTCACTTTTGAAACCAGTGACTGATTCTGACAAAACTTGTTGCAATCTGTGTTGTATAAAGATGCACCTCCTCCCTATTTGCAGCTCAGTGTGCCTGCCCTGTAAGCTCATAAAGTTTGGACTATGTACATCTCATGTAATTTTCAATCCAGTTCAATAATATTTTGTCCTAGGATTGCAGACAGGGTTGTTTTTGTGAGTGACATGTCTAGATTCCTGAGGTTTTGTACATATATTAGAATTGAAATAAAGAGGGTGGCTTTCATCTCTTAATTCTGTGGGTATGTTCCCTTCAGATCATCTTATTGAGCCAAAAGCACCCCCCCCCTTCCTCCTGATCCCACGTTTGAGGATGAAGAACCACCAAAAATCAACCCACATGGAGAGAAATAGAACAATGGAGGATTCGGCTACCCTCAAATCTCATGCATATTTCAGTGGTGAACCCCAAATTTGCTTGAACAAGTAAGGCTGGGATGAGTTGTCATAGGATCATAGAGGCCTAGGGTTGGGATGGGTCTTAAAAGTCATCAGTTCCCTTCCCCATCAGATTGGTCAATGCTGGGTAGAGAAACTTCTCCAAGTCTTCCAAACTCTGCTTAAACAGCTACAATGGCAGGGAACTAGAGCCAGGGAGAGAGTAGATTTTTTTAAAAGGTGGTCTGTTTGATCTTGGCTGGATTTAGGACATTGTTTCTGACAAAGAGCTTCTTCTCTCTCTCTTTTTTTTTAATAGAAAATATAGGGTTTAGTTTAGCTCTGTGACCTTCTGTCCCATCTCTTCTACCACCCAGGTTTGTGACCTATCCTAGGCCTCAGGTTCCTAAATGGAATGCTTAGGGAGTAGTCCTGGATGCCACGATGAATTCCTTCCAATTGCTGAGCACTGCAAGCTTTTCCGAGTGCTACGGGGTACTTTGCACTTGTGGGTTAGACTGAGCTTATGGAAGTGTCTTCATTTTTCTGACAGGGATAGAAATGTGACCTACTGGTGATACCAAGGGAATATTTGGTTTGCTTGGTGATACCAAGGGAATATTTGGTTTGCTTCTTTGGTAACCAGAATAGTGATTCCACTGGCCCTGTTAACTTTTCTGCTGTGCTGAGGCACACTGATATCATTGAATAGATTTCGATGATATCAAAATCATTAGCCCTTGCAATGGATGGGCAGACAGGTGGTCATCTCTGTCTATGAACTTTACCTGATTGCACCATTTAAATATGATGATTTTCCCCTGTGTACCATGATGGGATAAAGGTTAGGAAGCATTATTCTCTTGCCCCTCCCCTTCTTCCTGCTCTCACTCCTCCAGACCTTCTCTCTTTCTGCATATTGCTGGTGCTCATCACCTCTTTTCTGTTTCCTTGTGGTTTATAGATGATCATGATGCAGTCATGAGGTTTAATGGGGCGCCCACAGCCAACTTCCAACAAGACGTGGGCACGAAAACCACCATTCGCCTGATGAACTCTCAGGTAAAATTTCTTCTGTGCAGATATGGAGAGAAGGGCCACAGTATGGGCTCTAAAGTAGAATGTATCTACTAGGAGCACATCAAAGCTGCCAGCTTAATTAAGTCCCCTGACTTTCCTGAGTCTCGGATTCCTCACTGGAGAAGGAGAAGACCGTGATTCCATGACCCAACCTGGTGATGTGTTCATGAGAAAGCCCCGGTGGCATTAGTCTGCACTAATAGAGGTGTCCAGCGCCCAGAGAAAGCAGACTTCTGCTGTCCCTGCAGCTGCCAGGTCATATCCAGACTGTTGTATGAGGAACAACAGAACAGAGAATATCCAGGGGGAGTGAGAAGTGTTAGAAAAAGTAAATGACGCAATACATGTGGGAGTGCTTTATAAGCTGTAAAATGTTACACAAGTATTATAAGACATCATCACCATTAGGATTATGTGTAATATGGCATTTGAATTCATGTATGACCTCATGAATTCCCCTAGATAATTAGTCTCATGAAGTATTTCCAGGCAGCACATGCTGATTTCTCAATACTAATGGAAACTTGAGAAATACTCCTGCCACAAAGTTCTGTTAATAGATTTAATTAGTGTGAACAAATGGGTTACTCACATTTCAAAAATAGCGTGTTAGGGCTGCAAACCCATTCACCTCACTCACAACCACTGATGTTTGTCCTTTCTGAGTAAACATGTGAGTCTTGGCTATTGTTATGTCAGTGTTTAGACCCTACACTTGCCTAGGACTCCTGGGTGTGGAATGAATCCTGGAGGGCATCATAAGTGCCCTTCCAGCACTGTCCCAGTAGAATATACATTTCTCCTCGCCTCTGCCAGGCCTCTACTTCTGTTTCTCTCAGACAGTGATCTCTGCACTCCCTGACCTTCGGGAACTTACTAGCTGGGCAGAAGCTGCTTCCTGCATGGACTGCTTTCCACTTGAGGTCCACTGGAGTCATGGGAACCTTTTTATGACAGGGACAGGGATTGAGGAACTCAACTTTTTTACAAGCAGCCACCATCTTGTTTTCTGTTCTTCCTCAAATACTATTATTATCATTAGAAAGTCACTTTCTGTCACTGTATTATCTTCTAGTAGCCTCTAGGTGCTTCTAATACCTGTTTATTGTTCAATCTTATATTTTGTGTTTTTATATTACTTTTATTATAAATTATAAGAGGGAAGGTTAAAAGAAATAGATTGGTCAGCAAGAGACTCTTGAGCTAGACTTTGAAAGATGGGCAGGATTTGGAGAAATAGCAGTAGGGGGGCATTCCAGAAAGTGGGATTGGCAGGACCGAGACTCATAGGAATGAAGGAGACAGTCAAGCAGGCCTGGCTGGTGTGGGGGTGTGGGTGTGGATTCATGTTGCCCTATAGAAGGAGATGAGGATGGACCCTCTGGCTGCTCAGTCTCTGGAAAGTTTAGAAAATCAGGTAAAGGAGTTGGGACACGCTTTCTCTTCTTTCTCTTTTCCCTTCTCATGCCCCAGGCACAGAAATCCTGGAGCTGGAGGGCACCTGAGGGAGTGCAAATGCTTACCTCTGCTTCTGTGTAAGATGGTTCCTAAATATCCTGGAGAGATTTTATTTGCCCTTCCTTCCTTCCTTCCACAAATACGGACAGTACTGAAGAGAGCGTAGTAGTCAGTACATAGGCTTGGCAGTTAGCCTGCCTAGGGTTGAAATGCAGCTCTGCTTCTTGTTAGCTAAATGATCATGCATAAGTTACTTATACCTCCGTTTACTCATCTGTAGAGAAGGCAGAATAGTAGTACCTACCTCACAGGGTTGTTGGGAGGAATAAGTGAGAAAATCTATGCAAAGCACTTTGTACCTGGCACTTGTGTCAATAACTGTTGGCTACAGTTATATTTATGTGTGCAAACACTGAGCTGGGTGCAGAGGCTGCTGATGAACCCAGCCCCTATTCTCCTATTGCTTACAGGTACAATCAATAGTCATACAAAGACATATGGAGTTGCAACAGATAACTCAAAGGAGAGGGTCAAGGTGCTACCAGAGCCTATAAAAGGGAAATTTCCCTAGTCAGAGAAGTCAGCAAAAGCAAGGAGGTGATACTTAGCTGTGTAGGAGAAGTAGGAGTAGATGTTGAGAAGGGTGGCATAAGAGCTTTTCAGGAAGAGGCAACAGCGTAGGGAAGGCCACAGCGCAAGGACCTAGGAAGAGGTGAATGTATGTGCAGGGGTTGTAGGGAGAGATGAGGCTGAAGGTAAGAAGGAGCAAGTCGTGGGGCTGCATCAAGTTTTCTTCTTTGTGGCATGACCAGAGTTGCATTTTGTAAACCTCCTGGCTTCCATCTGATCAGAGGCACTGAGTAGATGGAGAGACACAGTTGGAGGCTTTTGCAGTCATCTGTACTAGAAATGCTGGTGGTTGCACCAGCGTGGAAATGAAGGCGAATGTGAGAAAGAATGGATTTGAGAGCTATTTGGTACGTGCGGTCAACGGCTTTATGTTGAACTGGATGTGAGAGGTGAAGGGAGAGAGGCCAAAGGTGCAGCTGAGTTTCTGGCTTATGTAACTGGCCGACTAGAAGTCACTGAGATTGGAAGTACTTGAAGATGTTTTGTGTTGTAAGGCCTAGGGTCAGAGAGCAAGGAAAAGAGAAAAACGTGGTTCTGGATGTGGTTGATCCGAGCTACCTTTTAGATAACGTATGAAGAGATGTCAGGTAGGCAGTTGCACCATTGGGGCTGGAGTTGAGTGGAAAGGTCTGGACTGGAGATGAGAATTTGTGAATTGTCTATACCTGTGTGGCAATGAGACAGGGGGACTGAAGTAGAACACTAGAGAGAGAGTGTGTAGAGAGGAGAGAAGACCTACAGAGGAGTTTTGGGTAGAGAGAAAGGGAGTAGTCAGCCCTGTCAGATGCTTCTAAGAGGCGAGTTTAGATGAAGACTGAAAATCATAGACTCTTGTTAGCAAAGTGGAGGCCACTGGTGACCTTAACAACAGCTGTATGGGAGAGTGATGAAGCCAGAAGCCAGACTGGAGAGTATGGAGGAGTGAGTGGGGAAGGCAAATGTGGATGGTTCTTTCAAGACGTCTGGCTCTGAAGGGCAGGAGAGAAACAGGGCAATAGCTATAAAGAGTTGGGGGTTCCAGGGCCAGTTTTTGTTCTTTTCATTTTTTAGACTGGAAAGAGTTGAATATGTTTAAAAGTCGATGGGAAGACAGTCAGAAAAGGGCAAACACTATATGATTCTACTTATATAAAGTACCTGGAGTGAGTCAAATTCATAGAGACAGAAAGTAGAATGGTGCTTGCCAGGGCCTGGGAGGAGGGAAGAATTATTTTTTAATGGGTACAGAGTTTCAGTTTGGGAAGGTGGAAAAGTTCTGGAGATGGATGCTCGTGATGGTTGTACAACCGGGTGAATGTACTTAATGCCACTGAGCCATACACTTAAAAATGGTGAAAATGGTACATTTTATGTTATGTATATGTTACCACAATAAAAAAATTTTTTTTAAGTCAATGAGGAGAAATCAGTTAATAGAGGGAGAAACTGAGTCTACTAACAAGAGGAGATAATAAGTAAGTGATGGGGGGGAGTGTTGATCCAAAGCCCAGCTGAGGATTAACCTCAGCAGGAGGGAATCAGCAGGAAGAAGAACCAGAGGGGTGTAGCTGGAGGCCGTTTGTAGTGGATGAATGAAAGGGCCTCTATTTTCTCTACAAAGTAGGATGCAAGGTCGTGTTGGAGGGAGGCTGAGGCGGAGAGAGGTTTTAGTAGAGGAGGTTTAAGCAAAGAAGGTTTGAAATTGTCTTTGAGGAGAGTGGAGGACAGAGTAACCCAGAAGAATGGAGTAGGATTTCCAGGCCACACTGGCCACTTTGAGGCTGGAGAGCATGAATTCAGAGAGAAATCAAGCTCTGTTCCATCAGGGGTGGTATGATCTGCGGATCAGTAGGCAACAGCAATAGAGAGAGAGAGCATGGAAGAGCCCTGAAAATTCTCTTGGACTGGAGAGGCCACTCCGTTCTTGGGCATCTCTTCATGGTGTTTAGTGAAGAACTAAATCCCAATCCTGCAAAGATTCCAGAACTTTATTTAAAGCCAAGGTAAGGTTGCCTGGGAATGAAGAGACAGACTTGTATCAAATTCCTCCATGTGAGTGACTTGAGCAAGTTGCTTTATCTTTCTGAACCTCAATTCCCTTATTTGTAAAAGGGGAATAAGAAAAGTTACGATGCAGGGTCTTTGTATGATCAAGTGAGATTACTAAGCGTGGAGCATTTCACCCAGAGCCTGGTAGGCAGCAAGGGCTCTGTAAATGGTGGCGATGGTCTCTAAGGAAGCTTGAAGGCCTGCCTCTGTCTGTTGAGGAATCGCTGTGCCTTCCCAAATCCCAGGCAAATGGGCCACTTGTTTCCCTGCAAGGATGCGGCTTGAGGCCACTAGCAGAAGCAAGGTAAGACTTCCATCAAAGGATAATTTTCAGAAAAAAAGTAAGATCACGACTCTCATACAGATATACAAATGAACACGTGTTAAAGAGTCTATTTTATTTATCTGAGGGAACCAGGCAGATGTTATAACCTGTTCAGAGGAAAAGTCAAAACAGCACAAGTTTTGAATAAAGGAATGAAACTGTTTTTTCCGTGAGGTGGGAAGGAGGAGGAGGGAAGTCAATCGAAACTCTACTGGGCGAGATTGAGTAAGCATGTCTGTAGTTAGCTACAGTTTACAGAGTTGCAGAACAGCTCCCATAGAATCAAAATCTGATAAAGAGAAAGGAAGTGCTGTAGACAAGGCATAGTTTTCCACTGAAGCACATTTTTCCCTCTGCTTCCTGATTACCTGGGCTAAGAGGAGCGTCGCCCACTTCCCAGGGTACACTGTCCACTCTCAAGAAAGCCTTTCCCAGTTTTCCTCAGGTCACACTGATCCTCCTTGCTCTCCTTCCGTAAGTGGCACTAAACATCTGGGCTGTTCCTCGAAGACTTGCGTCACGGGCAGCTCCATGACAGTGC